ACATTTTTTCTTATCATTTTCTTCTCTCCAATCTTTGTTATATTTCATTAAAATTCATCATGAATCATTCTAATTTTAATTTTTATGATGCTTTTGATTTTGATGATGACACTCCTGTTTTTGCTTTTCAAGTTGTTACTGTTGTGGTTGCTGAAGAAGAATCGAATAATCAAGGGCGAAGAACAAGGTATCGTGGCTCTATTCTTGGTTACAATATTGTCAATCGTAACTGAAACGAAGGTGAGTTAAGGTTATATAATGATTATTTTGTAGAAAATCCTAAATTCATTGAAAATCAATTTCAAATAAGATTTAGGATGAGTCGTCGTCTTTTTCTTTAGATCGCAAATGTAGTGGAAGCTCATAATTCATATTTCAAAAAAATGACAGATAATCTTGGTGTTCTTGGTTTATCTTGCCTTTAAAAGGTAACTGCAGCTCACAAAATACTTGCATATGGTATTCCTGCAGATCTTACAAATGAATATCTTCGAATTGGAGAAACCACTGCGATAGAAAGTCTTAGAGCTTTCGTCAAAGCACTTGTAGAAGTTTTTGGTGATTGATATCTAGGGCACCAAACGAGGCCAATATTTATCAATTATTATCAATTAGAGAGCAGCGTGGATTTCCAGGAATGTTAGGGAGCATTAACTATATGCATTGGAAATGGAAGAAATGCCCAATTGCATGGCATGGGATGTATACTGGTCATTTTTGTGGACCAACTATAATTCTAAAGGCGGTGGCTTCACAAAATCTTTGGATATGACATGTCTTTTTTGAAATGCCTCGATCATTAAATGATATTAATGTTCTTGATCGATCACCTATCTTCGCTGCACTCGCTGAAGGTCGTACTGCTTCTGTCAATTATACAATTAATGGGCATGAATATACAATGGGATACTATTTAGCAGATGAGATTTATCCTAATTGGTCAACCTTTGTTAAGACAATCCCAAAACCATTAGGAGCAAAGAAAAAATATTTGCAAGCAAGCAAGAGTCTGCAAGAAAAGATGTGGAGCGGGCATTTGAGGTGCTCCAATCTCGTTTTGCAATTGTACATGGACCTGTTCAATATTGGGATGAAGAAACGCTTGCATATATTATGAAAACTTGCATAATAATGCATAATATGATTATTGAGAATGAAGGAGTAATGAATCTTGAATTTGACCATGAATATGAAGTCAATTCCTTTATATCAGTGTCACATGGTGAAATACCAAAACTACATGATTTTCTTCAAACTCGTAATCGAATTAGGGATAAAGCAATTAGCTCTCAACTACAAGAAGATTTGATTGAATATTTGTGGGAATAATATGGCAACGAGTAGAATCTTTAGATTTGAACTTCTTATGTAATCATAATTTTCAAGTTTTTTAACTTTTTTTTTTCATTATAGTTGTTATCTTTTAAGTTAATTAATCTTACTTATTATTATTAAGTGTTAGAGGAACTTCAAAAAAGTATTATGAATTGATATCAATTTCATAACAATATATTTAAAATAACCATGAATTTTTTACATATTTAATTAAAAATACATTACATTACACTAAATCAATCAAAGTTAATTAAAAATTAAAACCCCTCTTTTGCATAATTTCTAACTTTTTATTTTGAAAATACGCTGCAGAAATTGGATCTAAATTAGAAATATCTATTTTCATAATTTGTTCTTTCTCAATCTTGTTCAATTCTTTTTTCTCTTGACTTTGTTGAATCATTATGGCTTGTTGCTCTAACATAATTTTCCTGTCTTGTTTCTTCTGATCCTCAATTTCAACTAGAGTATCCCTGAATTATTGTAAGAGATTTGTTACAGTTACATCTCCAACTTTATTTTTTTCTTATTTACGTTTAAGTCGTTCTTTTGCAGCCTTCTGATCGATTGGTCTATCTTGATAAATCAATGATTCACTATCTTCTCCTAAACTAACAGAATCAAGGATAGATGGAGTTGATAAAGTCGGACTTGCATTGAAATGACTTTTTTGTTTCTTGTTTGACCTTTGATGTTGACTTGCAAGCTCAAATTGCCATGTGGGTTCTTTTCTTAAGATAACTCAATAATATTCTAGTTGAAATAGTTTGCCAACGTAAGAAGCATACATTTGTCGAGCATTATTAATCTGGTAAAAAAATAAATAAATAAAATAATGTTAAAATATGTGTTAAATAATTTAACATATAAATGAATATTAACATTACCCTTGATTCTTCGATCATTCCATTTTGCTGATGATTTTTAATTTGAGTAACAAATCTAATAAATTTACTTACTTCTCTATTTATTTCTTACCATCTACTTGAAATGTTTATTTGTGAATAATTATTCAAGTTTCCTCCATTCTCTACAAAGTAAACATGTACGCGAGCCCATAATTGTTTTGTTTGTTGTTCAACTCCTGTAATTGAATCCTTACTTGTATTTAGCCATTAAGAGACATGGGATGAAGAAACGCTTGCATATATTATGAAAACTTGCATAATAATGCATAATATGATTATTGAGGATGAAGGAGTAATGAACCTTGGATTTGACCATGAATATGAAGTCAATTCCTTTATATCAGTGTCACATGGTGAAATACCAAAACTACATGATTTTCTTCAAACTCATAATCGAATTAGGGATAAAGCAATTCACTCTCAACTACAAGAAGATTTGATTGAACATTTGTGGGAACA